AGAAAAAATAAGTGACCTACCAATGTTACAAATAAGGTATAAAAAATGCTCATCTGACCGTAATTAAATACCTAAAACCCTGAGCTTCCGGGGGCTCTGCCCCCTGGACCCCACCAAGGGCTCTAAGGGGGGCCCCTGGATGCTCATCTGACCGTAATGAAATACCTAAAACCCCTGAAAAAGGAACACGAGTCAAATTAAAAAGGGGCAAACATATCAGAGATGAAAAGGGGGATTTCTCGCACATGAAAAGAAGCACTCACCAGAGATGAAAAGGGGCACTTATGAGAATGGGAAATAGCTTTTATAAAGGAAAAGGGTACCTGTCAAATTTTGATAGAGGCAATTATTTGTGGTAGGAAAAAGGCATTTATGAGAAGGAAAAGGGGAACTTATCAGAAGAAAGGAAAAAAGGCAGGGGCACTTATCAGAGTTGAACAGCGCACTCGTCAAAGAATAAAAGAAGCACTTTTAAGAAGGGGAAGAGGGCAGTTATTACAAAGAAAAAGAGGCACTTGACAAAGTAAAACGCGTACCTGTCAAATTTGAATAGGGGCAATTATCAGAGGGAAAGGGGGCACTTACCAGAGACGAAAAGGGGCACTTATGAGAATGGAAACGGGACACTCATTGCAAAGGAAAAGGGGCAGTTGTCGAAGAAAAAGGGGCACTTAACAGGGGACTGAAATATTAAATGTCCTATGTAAAAAGTGGAATTTTCACGGATTACCTAAATAATTGGGGGCACTGTGCCCTCCCCCCCCCCCCCGGAGCGCCTCCTCTGGATTAATAAAACTAAATATGCCAATTGTTTCGGACCTTTTAGCTATCGTGGAAATCACATTTAGAGCCCCAAGGAAAAATACGTACTACCTAGTACATTATGTACTCGCATGTTGAATGGAGTGTCTTTCACACAACGCTGTTTAGCGGGGAATCCCAGTACCGGGGAATCCCAACTGACACGTCACTTCAAACTCTGGTACATTAAATCACTCTCACCCTGCATTCACTGCCACACATTGTATTCACTGAACAAGGAGCGGATATCCAGTTTGTTTATTAGTGAGTGATTGTGTATTTATATTATTATTATTGATACTATTTCTCTTCATTTTCACTCACTACCTGATTTCACTAATATGCTCTTGTCTTGTTTATTGATAAGTAAAAATTAGGTTCACTCTATTTGAATATTTGCAGGTGAACCATAATTATGATCGCTTGACTTCATTCTATGCCGAGCAATGATTTTATTTGTACGTGCTATCTCCCATCGAGTATGTGTTATATTTCCGTCATGGATAGTAATATAGAGATATTTTTTGAAAAATCGGAGGCTGGAATATTCATAAGTAGAGGTGTATTCATGTTTTGAAAGGCTATATTAGTTGGGTTAGAGTGGCCCTTAAATGAATTATGTTTGGTATGCATGAACTTGACGTCATTGGTATTCTGGTCACACCCATGTTTGTGCGCGTCATGCAGGACTGAATTTGTGTAATATGAATGGATGGTGAGATTTGTGTTCCAAGTCCGAATTTGGTATTCTGGTCACACCCATGTCTGCGCCCGCCACGGAAGACTGATTTTTTATTTTATTTTTTATTTGTGTGTTTATTAAATTTTCAATCATATACAAATTACATATTTACAAGTCGGGACTGAATGTTCATATTATGCGTGTAATATGAATGGAGGGTGAGATTTGTGTTCCAAGTCCGAATTTATCATTGACCTGTGTTATTAGGTGATAGGCCGCGTAGTGTAGCAAATTTTCTACATAAATGAGCTTGTACATAGTTATATGAGTGTAGGGTGGGTTTTTATGCCTCCGTTACGAAGTATCCGGAGGCATTATGTTTTGGGGTTGTCCGTCCGTCCGTACGTACGTCCATACGTCCCGTTCTCGTGATGGCGTTATCTCAAAACCGATGGATAGATTCCTGCCAAATTTTAACCATGTATGTATCTGGCAGGGCTAATGAACTGATTAGATTTTGGGGTCACGGGGTCAAAGGTCAAAGGTCACAGGGCTCATTACGTATGCAAAAATAGCTCGTGATCACGTTATCTCAAGAACCGATGGATGGATTCCTGCCAAACTTAGGTCACGTACATATATAGCAGAGCTAATGAACTGAATATATTTTGGGGTCACGAGGTCAAAGTCAAATGTCACAGGGCTCATTATGTATGCAAAAATAGCTTGTGATCGCGATATCTCAAGAACCGATGGATGGATTCCTGCCAAAATTTAGTCATGTAAGTATCTTGCAGAGCCAGTGATCTGATTAGAATTTGGGGTCAAAGGTCAAAGGTCACAGGGCTCATTATGTATGCAAAAATAGCTTATGATCACATTATCATTAGAACCGATGGACAGATTACCATCAAACTCAAAACATGTATTTATCTTGCAGAGCCAATGAGCTGAGTAGATTTTGGGGGTCATGAGGTCAAAGGTCAAAGATGATGGGGTTCATTATGTATGCAAAAATAGCTTGTGAACACCTTATTAGAACTGACGAATGAATTATTATCAAACTTGGGACATGTATGTATCTTGCAGAGCCATTGAACTGATTTTAGGGTCATAAGATCGAAGACCAAAGGGTCATACATGTATTTAAAAAATGGCTGGTAATAACGATATTCTGCAAACCTGTTAATGGATTACAATCAAACTTGAATTTTAAAAATTGCTCTATGGCGGAGGCATCATTTTCGACTGCGCGCAGTCGAACATCCATCTAGTTTTTTTATAGACCAAATCTCCCATTGAGTGTTAACATCAGTGGCGTACGCACATTTTTTTTTTTTTTTTTTGGGGGGGGGCCAACATTTCGCAACGACTCAGAGGGGGGGGGGAAGTCGCATTTGGGGGGTCACCCTTTAGTCCAAAAAACATAAGTTTTGTTATGATTTTTTTTAATTTAAAACAAAAAAAATATTTACAAAAAAAAATGAGGGGGGGGGGGGTTCGTCAATAATCAGACGCATTCACCCCCCCCCCCCCCCCGCTGCGTACGCACCTGGTTGATATGTTATGTCTCGATCAAAGCGGCAAATCATCTAATTCGTCTCCGTGACAAATTCAATGTCTATATCTCTCTCTCTCTAAAAAAAAAAAAAGGTGAATTTTCACTCTATTTTCACTTCCTTGGGAGTGACGTCAGGGATCACTTGTTTATGAGTGAATTTCGATTGATTTTCGTGTGCTCTCTAAGAAGAAAAGAGTGAATGTTCACACTATTTTCACTACATTTTCACTCTCCAGAGGAGTGACGTCAGTGATCAATCGATTAAAAAAAAGAGTTATAGTTATTGTAATTCACTGAAAGGCTTTTCTGTTTTACAAATGATTGAGGTTTATTGGGCTTGTTCTATTCAAATATAATGTAGGCGAAACGTTTATTTTGTTCAACAAACATGTATTTATTTCGTGTATTTAATTTATCGATTTCAGAGGAGTATGTCCAGAAATAAGCAAATATCGCCCAATATAGTATTTCAAATGTTCTTGAAAAATAGTCTACAATAGGTAACATGATTTTCTTAATAAGCACAACTTGTTGAATCCAAACCAATACGGGTTTTGGAAAAGCGTTTAATACGCTCAACCGAACTATATTGAATCGAAAACTTGATACACATGGAATTCGAGGGCAAATGTTATCCTGATTGAAGACTACTTGTCAAATAGACAATATGTTTCATTTGATGGTTCTGACTGGTGTCCCAAAAGGCTCTTTTCTGGGACCACTTCTCTGTCTTCTGTATGTAAACGATAAAATAAACGCATCATCTGTTTTGTAATGTATTCTCTTTGCTGACGACACAAATATTTTTTACTCATACAATTATATTGGAATACTAATGAATACCTTTAATTTGGAGTTACTAATCTCTCCCAACTAGTTTTAAATCATGCACTACGGTAATTCTGTCAAGGCTGTCATGAAGCGTATATAATTATCAGCATTATTATACAAGTCATAATTTGATAAGCGCTCCAAACACATGCACTCGTACATTCACAGCAGGCGCGGATCCACGTGGCGATTTTTCCGGTCTGCCCCCCCCCCCCCCCTCTCTAGCCAAAATTGGATAATAATGTAAATTTAACCTTTTATTAAACAAAACACAAAGGCGAACCCCCCCCCCCCAAAAAAAAAAAAAATAAATAAATAATAATAATAATAATAATAATAATAATAATAAATAAACAAATAAATAAATAAATACAAAAAATACAACAACAAAAATACAAAAAAAAATATATAAAAAAATTATGTGTTCTTACCCCCCGCTTATTCACCGGTCGGCTGAGTCGGTGCTGAATTTTTCCTCAAAAACTGTACCCCCCCCCCCAAAAAAAGGGTCAGTTTTACAACCCTCCCCCCCCCCCCCCCCCCCCCCACCCCCGAAAATATGTTTGAAGACTAATGTTAAATAAGTACATATTTCGGGTTTGCTGTTGTACTCAGTAAACCTAAAAGTAGTATTCTTTGATAATATTCGACTTCAAACACATTTGTTCTGACAAACCTTGCAGATATGTGTCTTAAATGACACCCCCTGTTACATTATGAAACACTTGTTTAAGTGAAATTTTGCCATCAAATTGTTGTGGCTCCCAACACTTTAAGAGGTCGGTCTCCTGCGTTTTTCAATTTTTTTTTTTAAAGGAATAATTATTAATTTAATTTTATTATGATATGATTACAATATGGATTTTAACTTTTGTTATTAATAATATTATGTACCTATTTAGTTTGTATACTACTTTCTATTATGTTGAAAAATGTAGAAATAAAATCAAACAAACCATCACCATCACCATCATCACCACCACTACCATTATTACAACCATCACCATCCTTATCACCATCACCACCATCTCCACAATCATCTTCATCATCGTCGTCATTGAATATTCTCCCCGCATTTTTTTCATTCTCATCATTGTTATAATTTCTTTTTTTACCACTTATCAGTTTCATTGGAAAGTGATCATCATCTCAACAATCATGAAGAAGTTAGCTGCTCTGTTTCTCGTCTTTCTTGTCTTGTAAGTATATAAAACTACTGTTGCTACTACAACTACTACTACTACTACTCCTACTACTACTACTACTAATAATAATAATACTTCTACTACTACTACTACTACTACTATACCACTACTACTACTAATACTATATTACTACTTCTACTATACGACTACTACTACTACTACAACAACTACTATACTCATGGGCGTCAATCCTTACGTAATACCTATTGTTCAGGGTGGGAGATGAATGAATAGATCATCCCCCCCCCCCCCCCCCGAACAATAGTTATCAATTACAGATCTACGCCCATGAGTATAGTAGTAGTTGTTGTAGTAGTAGTAGTAGTCGTATAGTATATTATACTTCTACTACTACTACTACTACTACTACTACTACTACCAGGGGGGCCTCCCCCTGAAGAAAAACACGTGTAAAACACGTTAATTTTACCTTTTTTTGGAGATGGCCCCCTCCCCTGGATTGAAGAATACAAAATACATAAAAACGGGCAGAATCTGGACTATTAGCCGGGGTGCATGGTTGCCCAAATCTTCCGTCTCAACTCTTTTCTGTTCCCTGTTTGAGCGGCTAGCAGATTTAGTTCCCTCATATCTCTTTTGATATCCATCCAACGAGTTCCTTCCTCTGCCTCTGCTAATTCCTTCCACTGCTAATGTCCTTTGCTGGTTTCCCTCATAAAAAATTAGTGTCCAAACCATCTCAATCTCATCCCAGTAACCTTCTCCAGGAGGATGTTAATTATACCTATAGCTCCTTTCGCATTTCCTTGCTGCTTCTGTCAGTGGCGGATCCAGGGGGGGGGGGGCCGGGGGGCCCGGTCCCCCCCCCCCCCCCCTCCCCTTGAGAAAAAAATCATGTAAATCACGTGATTTTTACCTTTTTGGGGGGTTGGGCCTTTTTGGCGCTCAAGGGGGGGGGGGGTGCAAATTGAAAAATTTTCGAGGACCAAAAAAAAAAAAAAAAAATGTGCTCACTACCCCCCCCCCCCCCACTGAGCGACTTTTCGGTCGGCGCGATTTTCAAATTTTCGGGAGCAAAAAAAAAAAATTGTGCTCACAAGAATGATCCTGTATGTTTGGATCTTAATGCATAAAATTGAATTTGAATGTTTGTAATCAATAACGTGATCATGTTCTAATTGCCTTCACTTTCCTGTCTCTGAATTAATCTCGTTCAGGAGCAGCGCCAATGCTGACCCGCTGGCAGCCTTGCTGTGGGGTGCTGGAGCAGCCGCGGCAGTAACCTTTGGAGGACCTGCAGGGCTTGCTTATATCGGTTATACAACGGCCGGTATTACTGCTGGGTCTATAGGCGCTGGAATGATGTCTAGCGCCGCCATCGCCAATGGGGGAGGTGTGGCCGCAGGGGGTTTGGTCGCTACGCTCCAAGCTGCAGGAGCAGCCGCATCGGTTGGTTGTGCGGCACCCGCTGCGGCAGGCCTGGCTGCAGCCGGTGCAAAGGCTTTAATTGATGATTAGAAATTATTCCTTTTGATGCCTTAGAATTGGTGATGTACCATAGGTCATCCCTGGTAATTTTAGTCATTTCAAATTAATTTTGCATACTGTACTTACCCTGTGTCAATTAACCCGTCGTCGTATCCTAATCTTCAAAGTTAATCTCTCATGCATATATTATATATCTCTATGTTAGAAAATTGCTGCTTTCATTTCATTGATTTTGTCTGCTTTCTGTTTCAGAAAGTTGTTTTAATCTCAACTGTGTTGATTACGTATAGCGCCAATAATTATTAGCGTCATAATTGACGGACCTATCTATATAAGCGCTTTATAAGAAGGCACCATAATTATTTGTATCTATTATAACATTTATTATCATTATTTTGGAAATAGTTCAATATCATCGAAATAATTTTGAATATTGGGATTGCATGATTATATAATTTACATTTTGCACAAAACACAGCTTCAAGAAACTTTGACTTATCTAACTTACATAATGACAAAGCCCTGAACTGTCGAGGGAAGGGACTAGTAGAGAAATTCTTCGACAAGCAAAATATCTTAAGAGAGAATAAAAATGTATAATTAGCACATCGTAACTCTTTGATTTGGATTGGGAAAGGATTTAGAACCCTGCTCCTGCATGAATCCTCCTAGTTGAACAAGATACATTTTGAACATTATAAGGGCTACTAGATAATCAGCTTTCTTCATTGTTCCATAAAAATATAAGAGTGCACAATAGTATTGTTAAATGAAACCTAAATTGCTTCCATTAATTTTTGATACAATACTTGCGTTTGACCCAACTTCCTCTTGAAGTGGTATCGTAGTCTTCAGTTACTCCTATCGTCATGCATGATGACTAATAAATTTTCCAGTTGAAGAAAAAAATCATTGGTCTGATGGTGTTCCTTGTAATTGTAATGGGCCTATAATTATAAAGGGGGAAAACACTCCAAAGTCCAAACCATTGTCTGCATTGTGTTTTTTTTTCAGATCGCGGAGAGGATCAAAGAATTGTACAGGAGCACTGCCTTATAGCACCAGAGTTGAGAAAAATGTTGTTATTATATAATATATAGGGAGCAAGAGAAGAATATGGGTCATTGGTGGGGAGTTCCCTTGTAGGGTATGGTCACACGGGGGGGGGGGGGTAGTGAGCATTGTTTATTTTTTCTCTTTTGCCCCCGGAAATTTGAAAATCGTGCCGGCCGCTATTTTGCTTAACACCCCCCCCCCCCCCCCTTGAGCAAAAAAAGAGGAAAATTTCTAATCACAATTATTTAATTTTTCCTTTTTTCCCGCTGCCCCCCCCCCCTGTATCCACGCCTGCTCACGGTGACATGGTGGAGATGGTGCACATTGTGCGTGAATAAATCCGATGACTGGAGTAATACTGTCAAGCCCTTAAAGACTGTATTTCGTTATTATCCGTACACCTACCCCCTGGACAGTTCATCCACCCCCGGAGAGAGGAAAGGAGGAGGTTAGAGAGATCGAGAGGATGGGATGGGTGGACGAGTGATTTAAAAGGAAACGGGGGAGGGGCATGGGTGGATACAAAAAAACATAAGAGAGAGAGAGAGAGGGAGAGAGAGAGAGAGAGAGAGAGAGAAATCGACAGATAGATAAGGGATGGACATGTTGAACAATAAGTTGGTTAGCCATTGATGGGGTAGGCCTTTCGTTTTATGGAGTCAGGCTGGCAACAGGGAGACCTTAATTATTTGGCATACTCGGTGAATAAAACGTAATAAAAAGAGTCTTATATCTTTGGATTTGGAATGACTTCTTCGTAATAAAAAGAGTCTTATATCTTTGGATTTGGAATGACTTCTTTTTACGCCTCCCCTCTCTCTCTCTTTCTCTCTCTCTCTCTCTATACGGCCTCTCTTCCTCTCTCTTTATCTACCTATCTATCTTTCTTCATCCTCTCTCTATCACTCTTTCTCTTTCTCTCTCTTGATCTATAATTTATCTCTCTCTCTCCACTCTCGCTGATATGCAGGTCTCTATCTCTTTCTCATTCTAGTCTCTCTTTCTCCCGCCCCTCCCCCCTCCCCCCTCCCCCCCCCCCTCTCTCTCTCTCTCTCTCTCTCTCGCTCTCTCCCTTTCTCCCGCCCCTCCTCTTTCGCCATTCGGTGTTGAGTATATTAAACATAATTATGCCTATAAGTATAACAACAATATATTAAGGTCTTTAATTATGGTAATAGGTAAACTATAAAGGTTTTACGGGCCGACTTTTCCCTACTCTAGTTTTTAGGTGGTATTTCAAGCGTCAACGGAATTATAATAGCCTTTCGCAAAAAAAAAAATTGTGTGTGGTGTATAATAGGTCTACCTTTCAATGATACGTTTTTGTCATACTAAAAAAGGCCCCTAGTTATATGATTTTTGGCATTCCCTGGTTAATAAGTATAAATTAAAAGTTAAGTTTTGTGCGATTTGAGGACAGTGGGGCAGTAGAAGCACCCCCCCCCCCCATATCACCCCTAGATCCAACCATTTATCATCGTCATCAACAAATGATCATCATTTAATATCATCACCATGCATCACATCGAATTTATCATCATTCATAAATTATCATCATCTTCTTCTTCTTCTTCTTCTCCTATTCTTCTTCTTATATTCTTCTTCTTCATTTTATTCTCCTCCTTCTTCTTTTCCTTCTTCTCCTTCTTCTCCTTCTTTTCCTTCTTCTCCTTCTTCTCCTTCTTCTTCTTCTTCTTCGTCCTCATTTTTCTCCCTTCTTCCTTTTTAATTCTTCATCATGTAACTTGGTTATATACTCCCAGGTATATATTTTTCACGTATCATGATGAACATCTTTTTCTTGGCTTCTCCTCCTCTTTCTCATGAAATCTTCTTAGTTAAAAAATAATAAAGTTGCTTGTTCTTATGCTTCGTTTAGCATTCTTTCCTTCCTCTACTTAGTCCCCCTTCTTCTCTTTATATTCATATTGTAAAGACTGGTAAAGAACGTTTATGACTACCATATATAGATGTGTTACGTATAGTAGTTAGCTACGCATTATTTTATTTCGAGATTTTTCGATAGAGCAAAGCCAGCTAGCTAGCTAGCTGAGCTCAGTTCACAAGCGTGCGAGATTGATCAGCACGACCCTGGCCCTACGAGTCCGACTATCTTGACCAAAGTTTCTGACCCTGTCGCAAGTCCAGCTCTATATCCAAGATGAGGTTCATGCTCACATTTTTGAGGCAGTAAGTTTCATTATCTTATCATGCTTTACTTTTAAAGTTATGGAGTCGAATACTGAAATCGCCGCATTGGCAAAAGTTTAACCATTGTTTACTTCAGTCCCAGGAACTGGAAATTGTGTTGGCTGGTACTCATCGGTAAGGTATTTGTCAATTGTTGTGTGATGATGTGATCATTGATGATCGTTCTATGACTCTCCAAAGCTCCTAACCGGTCGGATTTTAAACATTTACTTTATTTGGACTCCAGGAATCTCCAAAACAGTGGAGGGATCAACTAAGAAGAAGAAGAAGATGCATTCAAGTAGTAATAGTATGCACAACTTACGCGGCACCAATCAGCCAGTAGGATTATGATGAGGAGGGTCCAGGGAGGGGGGTATTTATGCACATTAAAATTTAGCTTGCTTGTTGTTGCATGTTGGATTTTATGAAATATCATTGTCATGATTGTGAAGTATTATTTACTGGAAGTGGTACTGGTAGTAGTACTAGTAGACCGAAATTTTTGTCTCTTTCGTCCGTTAGCCGCTGATTTGGGTAGAGTCGGTTCCTCTCTTTAGACACAGAAAGCGACTATAGGCGCTCCTGTGTGGGTTTGGTGGATTGATCTCGCCACCCAACTTATGCCCAAATATAATATTTTACCGGATGCAAATCCAATGCATTTTATTTTTAATATTAGGCTAAGGCTATTTTGATTGGTTCTACTTACAAACGTGACTGAAATAATCCGTTTAATGGTCCCTTTTCAGGAAATTATGGGTCAAAATTGACATCCATGTTGAAAATCTTGCAGCCGTATTATAAACTCTCGCTGCGCACGACGTCATCTAAATCTCATCCCTTCTAGTCTATGTGCAAGGCAAAATGATTATGAAGGAAAAACTGTGCAGGTTGGACACACACACACTACCCCCCCCCCCCCTGCTTATTCTCCGGCTGGCTGATTCGCGGATTGTGTCGTTTCCATGCTCAAGCTCGGATCGACGCCCTTGTAGTTGTAGACATGGTATGGTAGAGTCAGAAAACGGCTGAATGGGGAGACTCTTTCCTATTTAGATTCTTTCATCTGATCTTGTCTTGGTTTTCTTTTGTAGCGGTGAAACTGACTGGAATGCCCAAATGAAGTGTCAAGGTCAGTCCGATGTGCCACTCAATACTGAAGGAGAAGAACAAGCCAAGGCTGTAGCAGCTTACCTAGCCACTGAAAAGTTTGACTATGTTTTCTCAAGTGACTTGAGCAGAAGCCTTGAGGTTTGTAAACTTTTATATTCTCAAGTCTGTGAAATTTTCAGAAGGAGTTTGATCGAAGTAGCCATGTATAGGGAGGGGTACAGGAATATTTATTACAGGATTGATTTACCGGTAACAAGAATAATAGCAAGGGGGAGGAGGGTGTGCTTCTGGGTTCTGCATTTACTTTTTACATGGGCCTCATAACAATGGGAAGGGTGGGGGCAGGCTAGGGGGGAACCCCCCCCCCCCCCCCTCTAGAACCATTACTGTTTCAGTTTAAATGAGTTTAAAGCCACGCTGTGCTAGAAGCACTACTGCAAAAATCCCCTCGAGCGCCATCTCGGGTCAGCTGTAGCAGTATGATCCTGTAACTTGCTGCACTGTTGGTTCTTGCATCGAGTCATCTGTCTGCAAAGCAGAAATAAGGTATTTGGTTAAAGGGGCATGTTCCCCGTATTCCAGAGGGCGTTCAAAATACGTACCCGCTGGCGGACGGTGCTGGCTGCCTATTGACACCAACAGAATACTGCTCTTACGCAGATGGCATGTTCCAAATGCCGGCACAATGCCGATTATCGCATACATGTGCCGAAGTAATACCAATCGCAGTTCGGCTCTAAGATTCGGCTGCTGTTTCCACCCACTTTCGTGACGTCACGATCGGCAGCGATCAGCTGGCTTGGCGAAGGCAGGCCAGTCCGCGCGTACTTATATTGACAGCTGTATGCAAATTAGAAGTTGATCTTCGGAACCAAGATGGCGATGACTAGAGCAGCGATAACTACACTGGCGGGAACGTGCCCCTTTAAGCATTCAGTGTTGGCATGTTGACTATGAGGTGGTTCTGTGCTATAAACGGTACACTAGGGCTGGGATATCATCCGTTCAGGAAAGTTTTAAAATTGCAAGATGTGTCCCACCTTCTAGTTGAAGGTAGCACAGTTGAACTAGGAGTAAGCTAGGAATTCAACTTTACATGTACAGATACATGGTCTTGTTTCTCTCTATCTATATCGGATTCAGTTTTCTCTTTCCCCCCCCCCCCCCCCTCTCTCTCTCTCTCTCTCTCTCTCTCTCTCTCTCTCTCTTTCACCCTCTCATTCTCCACCCTCTTTCTCTCTCCCCTCTTTTTTTTCCCCCTCTCTCCCTCTGTCTCTCTCTCTCTCTCTCTCTCTCTGTCTCTCTCTTTCTCTCCCTTTCTCCTGTGTAGCCTTCTAAGCATGGGTGTCAATCCTTACGTAATACCTATTGTTCAGGGGGTGATGAATGAATAGATCATCCCCCCCTGAACAATAGGTTTCAATTACAGATTTACGCCCATGCTTCTAAGAGCCTTCACTTCTATCGACTCTTCTTTCATGTTTATAATTCTCTTTACGTTATGTTTGCTGCAGACTGTAAAGAAAGTAGTAGAGCTTGGACCCAACCCAAAGCTGGAGATTGTACAAGACAAAAGACTGCGGGAACGGGTGAGTTCATGGTGATCTGAGTTTGGCCATATTTGCACTGAAGACATTCTTAAAGGGATCGTTTAACAATGTTAAATCTAAGATGCATGGCCCTACGTGTTACTACCAGTGTATGTGAAATGGTGTAATATTGAAGCCCTACAAAATGGTGCTTCAAAATAATCATGAAGTGCCTCAAAAAAGTAAAAATCTTTACCATACTCTTTTTCCCTTAATAGACTGTAATGTTATAAAAACTGTTAGAAAAACAAAAAAAGGAATTTTGATTTCCAATCATAAATATCCTGATAATCAGACAGGCGCTCGGCTTGTAAAAGTCATGGGATTCCTGACTGACCTAAAGGTTTATAATTATGATTGCAGCATAAGCTAAATCCAGGATTTTGTTTCACAATCTAAGGCAATTTTGTCAAAGATGTAGGACTGGGGTTATGTTTGAGCAAATTGGATGGCTTAGTTACCGGTATGTACAGTAACCATTAATTTTCAAGGTTTTAACTTCAATAAATTCCTCATTTTTACTGTATACTTTTTTTCCTCTTCAAACAAGCTATGGTGACATGAAAATTTAAAACCATTTTATTTGTAAATGAATGGCAAGAGATTATCATCATCTTCATCATTTATTAAAGTAAGCATTATCCCTCCTATGAGAGGTTACTGATTTTCATGCCATGATGACGTTGTGTGTTTGACGTACATCATCACGCATAACATGTACCGGTACCTGTAGAGCTACATGTAGCTAGGTACGTACTATCGCTATAGAGATACTTATTATATTGCCTTTCATTTATTTTGAAATCTATCTCCTTTTCTCCTCAGAGCTTTGGGGTGTATGAAGGAATGTCGTTTGATGTGTACCAGCATGCCCTTCAGAACTGTGTTGGACAGTTTGTTGTAGAAGGTGGAGAAACTCCAGAACAGGTACTCAACAAATTATTTTGTGTTTTTAAAGGAGAAAGTGGTAATCTTAAAGAGAAGGTTGAGTTCTGGGAAGAGGAGAAAAACAACTTGATAGCGTTATCATTGTATTATGCAAGTGTGGAAGAACATCAGATGAAAAGATGTTCCCTGAAAAGCATGGCTCTTCAATTGACTTATTATTCTAAGTATGGTATGTAACATCATAAAAATCGGGACAGATTTTTTATGCCTCGTGTTCGTGTAGTCCCATATACATCTTTCTGTGTACAGTGCTTGTAACTTTACCAAGACTGGGCCGAATTTCTTATCATTTTGATAATTACAGAACCTTGCAGTACACACCAATACTTATTTGCTTGATGGTCAACCTTTTCTGTTCGATTCCACGTTTCTTTCACCATCCAATCGCATGACCAGAACTCAACTTTATCTAATAAAAGATTGGGCGGAGGGGGGGAGGGGGTCTCAAATTAAATGAAACTACCAAACGTTGAAGACTACAAATGGGAGATGCAAAGGTCAAGGGTTCAAATCCCGACACGGCACTAATATCCTTTGGCAAGTTATTTAGCTGCACTTGCTACTCTCCACCCAGGTGTTAAATGGGTACCCGGTAGGATGCAACCGTCATTGTTGGTCAAACAGTTTTTGAGCGTCAAGTAACGCCTGGCTGGAATGCTCTCCAGGGAGTGGAGATTGTGCACACAGTGCGTGCTGAGTGGCAAGTATGGAATCCAATGACCGGGGCAATAGTATATCTCTAAAGCGCTTAGAGACATTTGTATTAAGGGCTATATAAAAGCGGAATATTATTATTATTATTATTATTATATTTACAAGACATATTTGGTATAAAATGTATGAAAGCTGGGTATCAATAAGCATAGGAAGTATTTCGTATATTTTGTTTGTATTTTTTTTTATCCAGGAAGTTCAAGGACAGCAGTTTTTTGACACACTTTTATCAATCAATGAACAAGAATATATGAATAACGTATGTAAGTATCAATAAACATATAAGAAATTTTGTATTCTTTTATTTGACCAGGCATTACAGAGATTAATTGACTTCCTCAACGACATGTGCAGGAATGTGAAGATGCAGGAAGCAAACAAGACCAATAGTGCAAAGAGTACTGGAGGGGCCTCGAGCAGTGCGGAGCCTACATCAGACGCAGCAGGTGGGGCTTCATCCAAGGTCTTTGTATCTGAATTCACAGGAGAGGACAAGGCTGCCAGGATACTCCCTCACATCCTCCTCTCCACCCACGGCTTCATGATCAGAAGCTTCCTCAAGTACCTACACTGCGTCATCAACGTTGAGATCCCCGAGGGCGATTGGCTGATCGACGACGGATGCCCGAACACCTCCCTCAGCACGCTGGTCGTGGAGACGGACAAGGACGATAAGTTTGATTTTGAAAGGCTGATATGTTACTTCATCTACAAGGTGGATCATTTTTCATAGTGACCGAGGGGAGCATCTTTACAAACAGCCAGTATTAGGAACTAACAGGACTAGAAGCAATAGAATAGGCGTAGAGTTAAGAATCATTATAAGATGATGACGTGGATCCTAATCAAATGATTGGTTAAGAGCGTACTCGTGACCAGGCATTTATTTTGCCTAGAACGTAATTTTGATAATGACCGGTCATTATCTAATTCTAATGACCGGTCATTAGTAAAATCATGTTTAAAAACATCATTTTATAAAACATAATCTTATGAAACAAATAATACACATCATTTTGTTGGGCATTAGTAAAATTTCAAAACGGTCCAAACAGAGTGGTAGACTGTTCCAAAGGTACCTTGTGTGGGTAAATCTTACTAATGCCCTTAATGCTGTGTATTATTTGTGTACTATTGACTGAGGAGAGCGTCTTTGCAAACAGCCAGTACTTAGGAACTAACAGGACTAAAAGCAATAGAATAGGCATAGGGTTACGAATCACTAGGCTTTATGCAAAGTGTGTTTGGAACACCCTAACTCTAGCCTTGAATACACAATGTGAACATGTATAGATAAGTCCTTACCCCCCCCCCCCCCCCCTTCTCTGTTTTTCTCGTTCTCTCTCTCTCTCTCTCTCTCTCTCTCGCTTTCTCCTTTTCTCTCTCTCTCTTCCTCTCTGTTTCTCTTCTCTCCTCTCTTTCTCTCTCTCTCTCTTCCTCTTTGTCTTTCTCTCTCTCTCACTTTCTCTCTCACTTTCTCTCTTCCTCTTTCCTCTTTGTCTCTCTCTCTCTCTCTCTCTCTCTCTGTCTTAGTCTCTAGGCTCAGCTTTGAGGGGACCCTCAAAGCTCCAGATTATGGTGCTCAATTGATATTTATTCAAATAAATTATTCATAGTTTTGCTCAGACTAATAGTGGAGTAGTAAACAAAGTGTAAACAGAAATGATGCACACTGTCTTACCTCCTTGTTTTTCCTGCCTCAATGTTTGATCTACTTTGATGCAGTTCAGGGCCAAGAAGGAATCAAATGATTTTATTTCTTGTTTTTTATTTATTCATTTTTCTTGTAATCAGCCAACATTTGATGTTTACTTTTTCTACTTCTCTAAATATGAATTTGATACATATTTTGATTTGCTGTGGTGTTTTCCTTTTCTTTTCTTTTTGGTCAATCTGTGCAATAGATTTAGGCTGCGTAGGAACAGATAAAAGATGAAAATTGGCAATTGTGAGTTTCTTTGACCCATATACTGTAGAGTGCGTCCCAGAAAAAACGAAACCGAGAAGTTTTACTTGCTCTGCTTTATAGTATTTTGATACAACTAGGTTGTTGCTATGTCAGGCAAGCATTACCAATTGTTAACATTGCCAAGACTAACCACATTTATGGTATAGGTATGAGCAGGGAGGTATAAACGCGGATATGGTATATGTATACTTTCTTAATTTATTTGAGGTATGAGGATTGAGACTAGGTATATTTTTATTGAATAATGTACTCATAGAGTTTCTATGCAATACTATTTTAATCATCTTGCCGAGATTTCAAGAAATTGAAAGAATTGGTCAACGGTCCTCCAATATAGGTCATTTTCGCAATGTAATCAAATTTAAAGCACAAATCTCTGTAAAGTGCCTCAAAACAAATTAAATGTATTTCATTCAACTGTTAGGATTAGTAGTACATGTATGTATGTAAATAGTCAGAATCGCGTACATCAGTTTATCAAGTTCAATCATGTACCAGTATTCAATTGATTTAATGGAATAAAACCAGATTTCTTGTCTATCATTACATTCATTCATTTTGGTCAACGAGTGTTGATTATATTTATTGTTAATTATCTGTTCAGTTTATGGGGAGTTGGAAGTAGAGAGAAACCAGAAATGATGGAGTTGTATTGGGGAAAAGAAATTAAAAATAAGAAAAGAAAATGCATGTTAAAGGTAATGCAAAGTTTTTGAAGATTGGATGGATAGTAATTCTGCAAAATGTTGATATATTTGGATGCCCCTACTTTCAAGAAATTGAGTAATCAAAATTTATCGGTGCTCCTGGTTCAATTTCAAATGGCTCTTAAGGCCATTCCATGGTAGCTGCAACCATGAAAATTTCAGATTTTGCAGTTCTAATATATAATTTCCAAACGGGAATAGCGAATCAGTCGATTGTAGTAAAGAAACATTGTTTTAAAGCTAAAGTAATATCAGTCTTGAGAGCAGGGAGCTATACAACATTATTTAATATTAGATAGCTTAGACAGATACCGACATGTGATTGGTCCAGAGCATGGGCGTAAATCCTATTGTTCAGGGTGGGATGAATGAATAGATCATCCCCCCTGAACAATAGGTATCAATTGCAGATTTACGCCCATGGTCCAGAGCTCGTCACGTGATATCAATTGCCAAGGATCCAAATTGTTATATTTTCCTGGCCAGTTATATTTTACGAGCTGGTGAAGTGAATATGTTTTTAATCCAGGGGGGGGGGGGCTCAACTCCGCTTCTGCATCCGTCTAGCCATGGGGAGATTTTGGAGGGTCAAAAAGTGTACGCTGCTTCCACTTATCGTGTATTAGCCTATGCAGACGACAATTTTTTAGTGCACCAGCGAAATGGGGATTTTGGACTGCGCACAGCGCGTAAAATAAGTAAATTAAAATTTGGAATATTCATGAGCTCTTTTCCACTTATCAGCATATTATCGTAATGAAAAAAAGACAATGCGCATACGTTACTATGGACAAAATCCTTGGGCCGGATAAATGTAGAACAAAGGTCAGATTTGGGGAGGTGTGGGGGGAGGAGGAGGGGGGTAATAAACTTTTGAATGGTTCACTTAGTTTGGGCCACAAACTTCGCTGTCACCAGGATGGAAATGAACCTGTAGAACTTCCCTGGCGTTTCTTTCTTTTTTTTCTCCAAAATTTGAAAATTCGGCCGATCGATATTTGATGCGGATGGGGTGGGGGAGGGGGGGGGGGGGGGGGGGGGGTAAGGCAAGCTTTTTACGCCTTTGAATGTTTTTTTGAAACAGATATATGGCGCCATACAAATGCTGTTCATCATCATCATCATCATCATCCATTGTCATAATTTTTTTTATTTTTTTTTATTTATTTTTTTATATTTTTTTATAACAAAATACAAAAGGGGGGGGGGGGGGTTCGTTCAAAACATACACATAAAAAAAGTCAAAGGGGGGGGTTAAACCCCCACCCCCCTCCCCTGCGTACGCGTCTGCATAACCCTGACATCTTTCCCTTTAGTACACATTCACTACCACCATCATGTCATTATCATCATTCTTATCATCTTAATTTTCATCATCATCATCATTATCATCATCATCATCATCATCATCATCATCATGAAGCACAACATCCGCCAATACGCACCAAGAGGACAGCGGCCATTCAACTTTTCGTACGAGAAGAAGAATTCCCGACAAAAAGTAACAGTTTGGGTGTGCCTTTTAGGGAATGGAACGCTCATTTGCGTGTGTGTGCTTGTGCCTGTGCCTGTGTGCAGGCGCGTACGCAGGGGGGGGGGGGGGGGGGGGGGGGAGTCGAAGAGTCGAACCCCCCTCAATTTTGTTGTTGTTGTTGTGTGTTTTGGAGGAACCCCCCCCCCCTCATTTTTGTTTGATAAACATATAAACAAAAATGGGCTAACGGTTGACCAAAAAAAGGTGACCTTACCCCCCCCCCCCCCCCCCCCCCCCCCCCCCAACGAAACGAAATCGATCGGCCAAATTTTCTAATTTCGGGCCAAAAAAAAAAATGTGCTCTTACAGTCGATGATGGTGAGGTGAGGTGATGACGAAGACGACAATCATCGTGTCAACACAACACAACAGATACAACGGAGCCAGACGCGAACGCGAAACCACACCCCCCCCCCACTAAAAAAAAAAAAAAAAGTGCCCCCCCCCCCCCCGCTTATTCAGCCGCGATTTTGAAATTTTAAACCTCCCCCTTTCAAGAATCCTGCGTACGCCACTGAACAGAGCCAGACGATGACAATCATCGTGACAATACAACGGAGCAGATGATGGCGAGCAATGGAATTGACAGATCCAAGTAGAGGTCACGTGGTTAAGACCAAACGCGTTTACACCACCGCTCCGCGATTCGCGTTTGAATGATAACTTAACTCTATATCAAAATATCTTCGAGCGTCTCATGTAGCTTAACGCATACAGTTAACAAATAAATTATTCACACCCCTTGTAAATTTGATGTTTTGTGTATCTTTCGTAACTCAAGAATGAATTGTGGACTGAATTAGGGCCAACGTTAAATACTTTAGATATAAGCTTTAATATGTCACATCCTTGAGAAACATAAGTCAGGACAAATCAATTTTTCACATACTTAAAAAATTACAAAACTTGGTATTAAAGAGTATGAATAATTTAGTTGTTAACTGTATAGTAAAGCATTTATAACTATGCAGAGAACACGTGAGCTTACCAGTTCCAAATGACACAAACAATAATTGTGCTTCTCACTCGTTCGTTAATAGGATCTTGACTGCAAGTGCACTTTTCTGGAGGTCAGAAGTATATAAGTAGCTCAGCTCTTACCAGGCGCGTACGCAGGATTTTTCAAGGGGGGGGGGGGGGGGGGTTTAACATTTATAAATCGGGCCAAAAATTTCGCAACAACTCAGCCAGCCGCTGCATAAGCGGGGGTGGGGGGTAAGAGGTCACTTTTTTTTTTTTTTTTGTCCCCAAAAAATCGCAACGACTTAGCCGACCGCTGAATAAGCGGGGGGGGGGGGGGGGGGGGGGGGGGGTAAGAGGTCACTTTTTTTTGGGGGGGGGGTCTCTAAATTTGAAAAATTGACATTTTGCTCCGTTGGGGGGGGTAAGGTCAGCTTTTTTAGGTCAACCATGGAACTATTTTTTTTTTTTTTTTTAATAGAAAAAAAAAAGAAAAAAAAAATCCAAAAGGGGGGGGTTTAGAGAAATGTAGGGGGGGGGGGGTTTACACACAAAAAATTACCAAAAGGGGGGTTTAACCCCCCAAACACCCTCCTGTGTACGCGCCTGGCTCTTACTTATGTCCAGTTTGTTATTGGTGGGATGACCGCGATCTATCCAATCGCACTCATGAGTCACTTTCAATGTTAGAGGTATAAAGTTGTTTTTTCTTAATTGATAGTAGAAATAAAATAAAATAAAACATTTCAAAAGCACGAATATCAGTATAACAAACTCATTGTGATGATCATCGTTTTTTTTTTTTTTTTAATACATGAAATAAATTAATGTAAAATAAATAAGACAAGTATTTAGCAGGAAAAAGAAATCGAAATGAAATATATCTCTGGAACTGGTATTTATGAATTGGGAAGAACTGGTTATTAAACAAATGTGACTATTGTCTATCGGTTGATGTGATTTTGAATTTCGCATATTCTTTAAATTCGAAAAGATTGACAAAAATACCCATCGAAAGAGTATTATTGGGGTTTTTATGAAATAGACAAAACCGACAGAGGGGACGGGTCATCTTATATAGCCAAAGTTCTGTAATAACATCGTAGTTCATTGTATTCCTTCCATGGGGGTGGCTGGGGTAACGATTATATAGAAGACA